TGTGCGCACGCGCGCGCGTGTGTGTGTCCGTTGCTGTGTCGTGAAACTGTGACCGTCACCCAGTCCAAACAAGTGAACGGCCCCCGAGGCCACAGTTATGCAACTTTCAGTGTGTGTCATAACAGCGTCACTGCTTTTTAAACTCGATAACTCTTTATTTTAGTAAAACACCCCCCCAGAGTCCGCGAAGCTTCGTTGGACTGGAAGAGGTTTTATTTTTTTGGCCTTAGAATCTGCAGAAATTAGGAGGTACCGAGCCTAGCACAGCAGCCTTGGCCCTGGATTGCGTTTGCCTTAGCAGATATGTTTATACAGATGAATATGAAATGGTCTGTTTATTTTGGGCTTTTGCTTCTTATTTTTATTTTTTCCTCCCTTCTCACCCATCTCCCCCTTCCCCCCCCCAAAAAGCTACGTCTTCATTCGGTGGTACGATTATTTTTTTTAACTAAAAGGAGATAAACTTCTATATTCTCATGTGTGTGTGGTTCTTGATGGCTAGCGGGGAGGGTCAGGGTGAGGTCACCTGGGGGCTGGGATGGGCCTGTCGGAGCCCAGGAGAAGTCTCTTCCCGATGGCAGAGGTCAGCGTAGGAAGCCCGTGCGCCGTCGCCAGGCACTGGTCCAAGCGCTTTGCTGTATTCGCTCATTTAAATCCTCACAACCAGCCTGTGAGGGGAATGGTATTTGTAGTCCCCTCTTGCAAGTAAGAATGGGGAGGCCTGGAGAATCTCCCAGAAGCCCACAGGCCAGCGGGTGGTGGACACAAGCTCAGGTCACTGGGTCCACAGCCCTGCCTCATGGGCTGTGGTACATGACACCGTGGCTGGAGGAGGCAGTAAAGCCCTAAGGATTTGAGATTGGGCACCCAGAGCCCCTGCCACAGAGACACCCAAGTGTTGAGCTGGGAAAGCCCCCAGGGATCCAGGGGTGGACACCAGCAGCTCCCTGTGTGACTTTGGACAGCTCAGGCGCCCACTGGGTCTCAGTCTCCCCATCTGTTTCATGTAAGGGTGGGCTAGGGTCTGGGTTTTCCCAGCCAGTGGGTCCAGGTGGGGCACCCCCCCCCCCC